AATTGCATATTATCGAGGAAGTGGCTGTCACCACCACTTCTCATCCCCAAAACAAAGTTCTATGATGATCTTTTGGGCAAAGAAAACTATCACCATATCCTTGCTTAAAACAAATCAAGTTTCTCACTGCTGCCGACTAACTGCTTTCTCTGTCACACCCCAACTCCAAGGGCATGACCAGCCATGAACCATAGATCCATAACCTATGGAACACGTAAGCCTAACAATAAACTAATAATATAGTAGTGGAAAATAACATTAACACTAAATTGATCTCATGTCAATATGTTAAAGTCAACATACCTAAACCTGTTTACCCCAATTATCCAAATACAAGTAAAGAGGGCTATACGATATATGCTACGAAGGTCACAACACTATTAGTCCCCAATCAATTCCCTGAGTCCGCTATTGACACTCCAATCGTTTACCTAAAAAAATATTATTTTGAAAACATGAGCTAAAAAGCCCAGTGAATGGAAAGGCATGCATATTCAAAGTGACTAAAAAACATATTTGACATACGACATGTAAATCAAAGGTTTGGAAAAATAATTTCATCAAGATAATCAATTTCTCAAGAATAACACAATCGGATTCCAACAAGAAATCATACCACAATGGTGAATCATATCATAATGGTAGAGACTGTACGATATTCAATAATTGATAGGAACCAAATACCAAAAACAATAACTGATAACAAGAAAATATGTATGACATACAATAGATAATCATAAACAAAGCTGGTAAAAACGTTGTAACAGTAACAAATTATATCATCATCTCATACTGGTAAGGACTTGTATGATATCTGAGAACCATACCAAATGCCAGAAGATCTCAAGGTTGGATCCAACACCGTACTTAGGGTCACCACGGGTTGCCACCCCAGAACTGTTCCCTAAGACAATCCGGTAAAGGTCACCAGGACGCACCAGAAACTGTTCCTTCAACCGTTGAGCACTAGGGTCACCTCAGCCTCCCCGGGTCTATTCCCTAGTGGCCAGGGTCACCCGCACACAGAGAAATAATTTTCCTGGACTTTTAGTACCAAATGCCAGAATATATCTCAGGGTTGGATCCAACATCGTACTTAAGGTCACCACGGGTTGTCATCTGGGAACTGTTCCCTAAGACGATCCGGTGAAGGTCACCAGACGCACCAGGCACTGTTCCTTCAACTGTTGAGCACTAGAGTCACCTCAGCCTCCCCCGGGTCTGTTCCCTAGTGGCCAGAGTCACCCGCACACAGAGGAATAATCACAAAGTCTCACCATATAAACAAGCGATTGAGTCACAATACTTCACAAAAGAATTCATCAAAGTAAGAAGAATTGCATGCCACAAGTATTTAAACACTTAGTAAAACATTTTATAAAGATAGTAATGAACAAGCATTATATATTATTTTTAAAATGTTTAGGGATACGGAAAAATATATGTAGTATGTCAATCCACTCACCTCAAGTCCAGATGATATGCTTCTTGAGTGTTACTTGTTACCCGAAGTAGAGTGAGATGTTATTAATGTCTTTTCCCTTTTTCTCACAATTTCCTTTGATAAAGTGCTCTTCCTTCCTTCTTCTCTCTTTTACTCTCTATTTTTTCTTGAAAGTATAAGACTACTTGTGCACTTATATCTTAATCCAATTCCCAAATGCCCTATTTATAGGCATCCTAGGATTATTCTAGAGAATATTGACATGTGACATTCTTAAGGGAGATTCCCTAGAATATTCTACCATCTCCTACATCCTTTTAGGTTTTAAGCTTATTTTGCACATGACAATTCCACTTTCCACAAGTATCTAGATTCATCTATAATATTCTAAAGTCTTCTTCAACCTTCTAAGTCCTTCTGGAATATTCTAAATCCATCTAGAACCTTCTAAAATATTCTAGACTTCTCCAGATTGTTTTAGATTATTCTAGGTTATTCTTGAACTTTCTAAAATCTTCTAGACTATTATAGATTTTTCTAGAAACTTCTCCAATATTTTAGATTATTCTAGACTATTCTAAATTCTTCTTTAAAATTTTTCTTATTGCTTACAAGATAATATTTTTAACTAGTTCCTTACCAAATTGGAACGGGGTATTACATTCTCGGTCTAGCACTCTGGTGCCAAATGCTCGGCACTAAGATGGTAAGACTCTCACCAAGATTTGTAGGCCTATCAATCCATCTGTCAAAGGCCAATGGGTGATCGGTTTATCACCAAAGATTGGCTCCACTTGTAGCAATCCCCAGACCCCCCAAGAACCCTTCAATGACAAGCACCATCAAAGGCCATTCTGTTGAGACATGGAATTCCACTTTGTCGTCTATATGACTCAAATAGTGAAAATCCACACCAATCACTTAGATCATTTTATATTCACTTAGACACTATCCTTCGGGAAGTATTTTGAAATGCGGCATCTTCCTAGCAATCACCAAATAAACATGCTCGGCATCAGTTTGAACTGGTCAGCACCATCAAGATGAAGATCGGCACAATCCTATACTACTGTTATGTCGACCCAGGCTAACCGTAGCAAGCCCCCAGGATTTTGCATACTAGACGTGGTGGTCGATCTCACCAAGGGACCACCGTTTAGTGGTCAATGTATCCTAGCATGGCCTCTCAACGGTAAGTAGCTCTCCATTTTCTCCATAAAAATGGTTAAAGACCCAAAGTTTGGGAGGCCTTGGTATGAGAACTCTCAACTTCATACCTCACACACACATTCTTACCATTTTCCTAGTTTTACACACTTGTCTATTCGGTTATTCATCGCAATACTGACTTAGGTATCGGAGGGTCCCTCTAACCTCATATTGGTTTTGTAGCTCATGGACTGGATGATATTCCAAAACTAGGGACACACCTCAATAAATTTCAGTGATTGTGCGGATTTTTTGTTCGTATAATAATCAGGCGACTAAAAATTTTTGACAAACGGGAGAAATTATGTAATCATGGAAAGCCAGTCCTCGAACAACGTCCCTTCTCCCTTTGGGTGTAAGTCTTAACACTGCGTCCAAACCTGACCCAGCATAACACGAAGCTAGGACATTGGGATCAGATATGATGATACTAGGGTGGTAAATCTGGAAGCCTATAACTAGCTTGAATCTTTATGGACTTGGCAAACTCAACCTCCCTATACGATTGACCACGTTTTATTTACAAGATCGCAAAATGAACTAGTTAAAAACCTTCATAAATAAATCATATTTCATTTGACAATAAAAGCTATAATACTTACTTTTAATTTTAATGCCGGCAAATACAATGTCTATTTCCTCTGATTTGGGTGTGAAGCCACTGAAAGTTTTTATTAACGTATAGCATAAAACAGACAAGTAACAAACTACCTTTTACTACCTTGATATCAATTGAAATTCATGAGATATCATTATAAGTTTCACCAATATAACATCAAAGTTTTCATCTGAGATTTTCAATTTATCATTCCTTTGCTTTAGTAGAAAGAGAAGGAGAACGAGCTAGAGAAAGAGGAGAAGTAGATGGACAAGGAAAAGAAGAAGAAGGAAGAAAAAAGAGAAGGAGCGGATAAGGAGAAAAAAGAGAAGGAGAAAGAAGAAGAAAGAGGAGGAGAAAAGTCAAGAAGAAAACAAAAAACAGAAGTAAAAGAAGAGAGGAGTAGGAGAGAAGAAGATTGGGAAAAGGAGCAGGAAAAGTGACCCGAAGAAGGAGAGAGGAGAAAGAGAAGGATTAGGAGAATGAATAAGGAGCAAGAGGAGAGGGAGGAGAGAAGAGAAGTCACTCGAAAGTTTAAAATTTATGGTGACTCTAAGGAACATCAGGGACTTGCGAGGATCGAAAACTAAAAAAGAATCACATAGAAAAAGAGCATTGATTCCATATATACCTACATAGAGAGAGATTTAGAGAGAAGGAGAAAGGTAAAATGGTGCAATGGGAGTTCACAATAGGAACTGCATATTTTTTGGGTCTGAGATGAATGTACAGGCTTGCTCTGACAATTCAACGAAAACTCATAAGCCCTAAGTGCCCCAAGACCCGTCAATTTGCTCGGAGGTGATGGTTCTTGACTAGAAGATAACGTGATATCCCTTACCAGCTGCTAAGCTTCATGAAAGGCCACACCCTTGAAGCAAAGATTTCTCGGGAGAAGAAAAAAATGTAACACCCCGGTTACCAGATACATTAAATGATTAAATCGACCACAATATATATCACCAAATATAGAGCCAGAGCTCTAATTACCTCAATAAAAATTATAATTGAGAAATAAAATGCATGGACAAAGAATAAATATTTATCCATAATGATGCAAGCTTCATAGCCTCACCATGTGAGGTTGGGTGGAAGTTTGGCTATAAACAGCCATGGTGCTGTCAGGCAAATTGCAGACAAGAAAGGAGGAAAAAAGGAGAGAGGAAGAATAAAAAAATATATAGAAAGAAAAATTTATGAGATTTTAGAGTAAAAAATTGGGTGATGATTTTACTTCAGATCGCTACCAAATTTAAATATATTGTTCATGATTCTTCGAATTTCACATCTATTGAAGTCATTGATGATTTTGAGGTACGTGATAGTATATAATATGCTCATGTCTTTAAATTTATTTGTAAAGAGTGTCCTTTTGATGATCGTAAATTTGTAGTATTTCCTATTGATATGAAATTCTACAACAGGAAAATTGGCACAAAAGGGAGGAAAAGCGACAGGAAGGAGAGAGGAGGAGGAACAAGAAGAGAAGGAAATGATACAAAAGGAAGTAGAGGGCGAATGAGAAAGAGGAGAAGGAGAAGCAAATGAAGGAGGAGAGAAGAGAAGTCACTTGAAAGATCAAAATTTATGGTGACTCCAAAGAACATCGATGACTTGAGAGGAATGGAAAGTAAAATAGAATCATATAAAAAAACAGCGTATTAGGAACTACGTATTTCTTGGGTTTGTGATGAATGGAGACTCATAATCCCTAAATACCCTTAAGACCCGTCAATTTGCTCAGAGGTGATGTCGTTACCGGAAGATAACGTAATATCTATTTTCAGTTGCTGAGCTTTATAAAAGGCTACAAATTGGAACTCCCTTTGAAGCTAAGATTCCCTAGGAGAAGGAGGAGAATAAGGAGTACAATGAGAAAGAGAAGGATAAAAAGGAGGAGGATAAGAGTGAAAAAGAAGAAGAGAAATAAGCAGGAGGAAGGAAAAGGAGAAGGAGAATGAGAAGAAACAGAAGGAAGGAGAAGCAAGAGGAAAAACAAGGGAAGAAGGAAGAGGAAGAGATGCTAAAGATGAAGGAGAAGGAGAAGGAGAAATAGAAGAGAAAGAAGAAGAAGAAGAATGATGGAGGAGAAAGAGCTGGAGAACAGAAGAAAAGGAGAAGGAGAATGAGGAAAATCGGCAAGAAAAAGAGTGGAGGAAATATAACGAGAGAGAAGAAAGAGAAGGCTGAGGTGGAGGAGAATGATGATGAAGAAGAAAAAGGAGCAAAAAGAGAAGGAGAAGAAACAGAAGGAAGGAAAGGGAGAATGAGGAGACACAAGAGAAAAAGCAGGTGAAGGAGAGAAGAGAAGTTACTCGAAAGATGAAAATTTATAGCAACTCTAAGGAGCATCGGTGACTTGCGAGAAACGAAAAGTAAAACAAAAATCACATAGAAAAATAGCAATGATTCCATAAAACCATAAATTTGTAATATGTATAGAGACATATATACACATATATACTTATAGAGAAAGGGAGAAAGGGAAAATGGTGCAACGGCAGATCACATTAGGAGCTGCACATTTCTTGGGTTTGTGACAAACTTACAAGCTTGCTCTGACGATTCAACAAATACTCACAAGCTTTAAGTGCTCTAAGACCCATCAATTTGTTTGGAGGTGATACCCTTTGACTGGAAGATAACGTAGATACCCTTCCGGTTGCTAATCTTTATGAAAGGCCCTAAATTTGAATTTCCCTTGAAGCTAAGATTTCTCAGTAAAAGAAGAAGAATAAAGAGGAAAATGATAAGGAAAAAAAGGAGGAGGATAAGAGTGAAGAATGAGAACAAGAAAGAGGAGAAGAAGAAAAAGAGACATGAGGAGGAAAAGGAAAAGGAGAAGAATGAGAAGCAAGAGGAAAAGGGGAAGAAAAAGTACAAGGAGGAAGAGATACAGAAGATGAAGGAAAAGGATAAATATAAAAGGAGGTGGAAGAAGAAGAATGAGGGAGGAGAAGGAGCAGGAGAGCAAAAAGGAAAGGAGAACGAGGAGAAGAAATAGGAAAATCGGCTGGAAAAAGAGGGAAGAGGAAAATTGACATGAAGGAGAGAGAAGGAGGAGAAGAATGATTAAGAAAGAGAAGGAGAAGAAACAGAAGGAAAAGGAAGAGAAAGAGGAGCAAAGTAGGAGAGCACAGAGAGAAGGATAAAAAGGCAAATCGGCTGGAAAAAGAAGGGAGGAGAAAAAGTGACAAAAAGGAAAGAGGAGAAAGTGAAGGACGAGGAGGAGGAGAAGGAGAAGAATGAGGAAGAACAAGAACAAGAAGAATAAGGAAGAGTAGCAAGAGGAGAAGGAGAAGAAACACATAAGGAATGAGAGGGAGAAGGAGAAAGAGGAGGAGGATGAGAAGAAAGAGGAAATGGAAGGGAACAAGGAGTAAGAGATGCAGAAGAAGAACTAGAAGAGGAGGAAGAAGAAGAATGAGGGAAGAGAAGGAAAAGGAAAAGTATGAGAAGAAGGAGAAACAGGAAAATCGATGAAAAAAAGGAAGGAAGATGAGTAGATTGAGGAAGAAGGAGTGGCAAGAGGAGGTGAGGGAGACGGAAGAAAAGCAAGAGGAAAAGCATGAGAAAAAGGAGAGAACAGAAGTCACTTGAAAGATCAAGACTCGTCAATTTGCTCGGAGGTGATGCCTCCTGATTGGAAGATAACGTAATAGCCCCTTCTAGTGAAGAAGGAGGAACATGGGGAAAAAAAGAAGAAAGAGGGTGGAGGAGCAGGAGAATAGGGAGAGAATGAGAAAGAGAGAAATCGGCTGAAAAAAAGACAGGAAGGAGAGAGAAAAAGAGAAGGATGAGGAGACTAAAGAAGAACAAGAAGAAGGAGAAGGTGAAGGAGAAAAAGGATGAGAAGTGAGAGGAAAAGCAGGGGGAGGAGGGAGAGATGCAGAACATGAAGGAGGAAGGAGGAAGGAGAAATAGAAGAGGAGGAAGAAGAAGAATGAGGGAGGTAAAGGAAAAAAAGAAGAAAAAGGAGAAAGAGAAAAAGCAACGGGAAAAAGAGATGAGAAAGAGAAAGATGAGGAGAAGATTGAAGGAGGAACAATGGCAAGAGGAAAAGAAGAGGGAGAAAGAGGAGAAGTAAGAGGAAAAGTAGGTGAAAAAGGAGGAGAAAAGAGAAGTCACTCGAAAGATCAAGACCAGTCAATTTGCCCAGAGGTGATGCCTCTTGATTGGGAGGTAACATAAATAGCCCCTTTTAGTTGTTGAGCTTTATGAAAGGCCATATATTTGAACTCCCCTTAAAGCTAATTTTTCCTAGGAGGAGAAGAAAATAAGGATAAAAAGTCGGAGGATAAGACTGAAGAAAGAGGGGGAGAAGGAGAAAGAAGAGGAAAAGTAAGGGAAGAAAGAGGAAGAGATGTAGAAGAAGAAGGAGAAGGAGAAATACAAAAGGAGGAAGAAGAGGAAGAAAAAGTAGAATGAGGGAAAAACAGAAGAGCACAGAGAAAAAGATAAAAATGCAAATCGGCAGGAAAAAGAAGGGAGGAGAAAAAGCAACACGAAGGAGAGAGGAGAAGGAGAAGAAACAACGAATGAGAGGGAGATGGAGAAAGGGGAGGATAAGAAGCAAGAGGAAATGCAGGAGAAAAAGGAGGGAGAGATGCAGAAGAACTAGAAGAGGAATAAGAAGAATGAGGGAGGAGAAGGAAAAGGATGAGAAGAAGAAGGAGAAATAGGAAAATCAACAGGAAAAAGGAGGGAAGAGGAGTAGATTGAGGAAAGAGGAGTGACGAGGGGAGAAGGAGAGGGAGAAGGAGAAGGAAGAAAAACAGGAGAAAAAGGAGAGAAGAGAAGTCACTCGAAAGATCAAGACTCATCAATTTGCTCGGAGGTGATGCCTCCTGTTTGGAAGATAACGTAATAGCCCCTTCTAGTTACTGAGCTTCATGAAATGCCAGAAATTTGAACTCCCCTTATAGCTAGCATTCCCTAGGAATAGGACAAGGAGAAGGATAAAGAGAAAATGGAGGAGGATAAGAGTGAAAGAGGATGAGAAGAAGAAAGGGATGAAGAAGCAAGAGGAAAGACAAATGAAGGAGGAAGAGATGTAGAAGACGAAGGAAAAGAAGAAATAAAAGAGGACGAAGAAGGGAAAAAAAGAAGAAGAATGAGGGTAGAGAAGGAGCAGCAGAATGGGGAAAGAAGGAGAAAGAGAGAAATTGGCTAGCAAAAAGGAGGAAAAAAAGAAGGATGAGGAGGAGACTGAAAAAGAACAAGAACAAGAAGTAGGAGTAGGAGTAGCAAGAGGAGGATGAGAAGTAAGAGAGAAAAAGAAGGGGGAGGATGAAGAGATATAGAAGATGGAGGAAGGAGAAATAGAGGAGGAGGAAGAAAAAGAAGAAGAATGAGGGAGGAAAAAGGAAAAGAAGGAGAAAGAGGAAAAGCGACAGGAAAGAGAGACGAGAAAGAGAAGGATGAGGACGAGAAGATTGAAGGAGGAACAGTGGCAAGAGGAAAAGAAGAGGGAGAAAGAGAAGTAAGAGGAAAAGTGGATGAAGAACGAGGAGAGAAGAGAAGTCACTCGAAAGATCAAGACCCGTCAATATACTCGGAGGTGATGACTCTTGATTGGGAGGTAACGTAAATAGCCCCTTTTTAGTTACTGAGCTTTATGAAATGCCATAAATTTGAACTCCCCTTAAAGCTAACATTCCCTAGGAGGCGAAGAAAATAAGGATAAAAAGGAGGAGGATAAGACTGAAGAAAAATGGGGAGAAGGAGGAGAAAAAGAAGAGAAATGAGGAGGTGGAGAGAAAGAAGAGGAAAACTAAGGGAAGAAGGAGGAAGAGATGTAGAAGATGAAGGAGAAGGAGAAATAGAAAAGGAGGAAGAAGAAGAAGAATGAGGGAAAAGCAAGAGAGCACGGAGAGAAGGATAAAAAGGCAAATCGGCTGGAAAAAGAAGGGAGGAGAAAAAGCGACAAGGAGAGAGGAGAAAGGGAAGGATGAGGAGGAGAAGGAGAAGAGTGAGGAAGAACAAGAACAAGAAGAATAAGGAGTAGCAAGAGGAGAGGAGAAGAAACATAAGGAATGAGAAGGAGATGGAGAAAGAGGAGGATGAGAAACAAGAGGAAATGCATGGGAAAAAGGAGGAAGAGATGCAGAAGAAGAATGAGGGAGGAGAAGGAAAAGGATGAGAACAAGAAGGAGAAACAGGAAAATCGACAGGAAAAAGAAGGGAAGAGGAGTAGATTGAGGAAGGAGGAGTGGCAAGAGGAGAAGGAGAGGGAGAGGGAGAAGGCAGAAAAGAAAGAGGAAAAGCAGGAGAAACAGGAGAGAAGAGAAGTCACTCGAAAGATCAAGACTCGTCAATTTGCTTGGAGGTGATGCCTTCTGATTGGAAGATAACGTAATAGCCCCTTCTAGTTGCTGAGCTTTATGAAAGACCACAAATTTGAACTCCCCTTACACCTAGCATTCCCTACGAGGAGGAGAAAGATAAGGAGAAAATAGAGGAGGATAAGAGTGAAGGAGGATGAGTAGATGAAAGAGAAGGAGAAGCAAGAGGAAAAACAAGTGAAGGAGGAAAAGATGTAAAGATGAAGGAAAAGGAGAAATAGAAGAGGAGGAAGAAGGGAAAAAAAAGACGAATGAGGGCTGAGAAGGAGCTGGAGAACGGGGAGAGAAGGAGAAAGAGAGAAATTGGCTGAAAAAGAGGAAAAACGACAGGAAAAGAAGAAAAAAAGAAGGATGAGGAGGAGGAGACTGAAGAAGAGCAAGAACAAGAAGTAGGAGTAGCAAGTAGAGAAGGAGAAGGAGTGAGAGAGGAAAAGTAGGGGGAGAAGGATGAAGAGATGCAGAAGATGGAGGAAGGAGAAATAGAAGAGGGGAAGAAGAAGAAGAAGAAGAATGAGGGAGGAAAAGGAAAAAGAGGAGAAAAAGAAGGAGAAAGAGGAAAAGCGACTAGAAAGAGAGACGAGAAAGAAAAGGATGAGGAGGAGAAGATTGAAGAAGGAGGAACAGTGGCAAGAGGAAAAGAAGAGGGAGAAAGAGGAAAAGTAGGTGAATAATGAGAAGGAGAGAAGAGAAGTCACTCGAAAGATCAAGACCCGTCAATTTGCTCGGAGGTGATGCCTCTTGATTGGGAGGTAACGTAAATAGCCCCTTTTAGTTGCTAAGCTTTATGAAAGGCCATATATTTGAACTCCCCTTAAAGCTAACATTCCCTAGGAAGAGAAGAAAATAAGGAGAAAAAGGAGGAGGATAAGACTAAAGAAAGAGGGGAGGGGGAGGGGGAGGAGGAGGAAAAAAGAAGAGAAATGAGGAGGAGGAGAAAGAAGAAGAAAAGCAAGGGAAGAAGGAGGAAGAGATGTAGAAGCTGAAGGAGAAGGAGAAATAGAAAATGAGGAAGCAGAAGAAGAAAAAGAAGAATGAGGGAAAACAGGAGAGCAGGGAGAGAAGGATAAAAAGGCAAATCGGCTAGAAAAAGAAGGGAGGAGAAAAAGTAACAGGAAGGAGAGAGGAGAAAGAGAAGGATGAGGAGAAGGAGGAGAATGAGGAAGAACAAGAACAAGAAGAATAAGGAGTAGTAAGAGGAGAAGGAGAAGAAACATAAGGAATGAGAGGGAGAGGGAGATGGAGAAAGAGGAGGAGGATGAGAAGCAAGAGGATATGCAGGGGAAAAAGGAGGAAGAGAGGCAGAAGAAGAACTAGAAGAGGAGGAAGAAGACGAATGAGGGAGGAGAAGGAAAAGGATGAGAAGAAGGAGCAAGAGGAAAATCGATTGGAAAAAGAAGGGAAGAGGAATAGATTGAGGAAGGAGGATTGGCAAGAGGAGAAGGAGAGGGAGAAGGAAGAAAAGCAAGAGGAAAAGTTAGAGAGAAGAGAAGTCACTCGAAAGATCAAGACTCGTCAATTTGCTCAGAGGTGATGCCTCCTGATTGGAAGATAACGTAATAGCCCCTTCTAGTTGCTGAGCTTTATGAAAGGCCACAAATTTGAACTCCCCTTACAGCTAGCATTCCCTAGGAGTAGGAGGAGAAGGATAAGGATAAGGAGAAAATGGAGGAGGATAAGAGTGAAAGAGGATGAGCAGAAGTGTTGGAGTTATAGCAGCCTAGGTTTTTTGAGTTGTGTTGGGTTACTGATTTTGGAGTACTGATTTTGCTGGGTTCGTTGGTTTATTGGGCTGTCTCGCTGATGGAGTTGGTTTATTGGGCTGTCGGTGGTTTATGTTGGTTGGTGGTTTATATGGTGTAGTTGGTTTAGGTGGTTTTTGGCTGTCGGTGGTCTGGTGGCAGGCTGATTTGGTGTTGTTTGTGGGTTGCTGCTGATGTTGGCTAGGCTGTCGGTGGGTTGGGTTCTGGGTGGTTTGATTCTTGGTTTAGTTTAGGTGGTTTGTGGCTGTCGGTGATCTGGTGGCAAGCTGATTTAGTGTTGTTTGTGGGTTGCTGCTGATGTTGGCTAGGCTGTTGCTGGGTTGGGTTCTGGGTAGTTTGATTCTTGGTTTATCGCTGGTGGTTTGTCGGTGGAACTAGTTGTTTGTGGAAGCTGTGTTGGTGGAGGATGTCTGTGGGCAGTGGGTTTGTCACTGGGTGCTTGCCGGTGGAGACTGGTTTGGTGTTACTTGTTGATGGCCGGGTGGTTTCGTCGTGTTGCTTGTTTGGCGGAGGCTAGGGTTAGACTTAGAGTTAGGGTTGGTGGCTTTGATGTGAGTGAAAGGGATACAAACTAAGTGTAGAGCCCCCATATATATAGCCAATAAAAGTCACAATAAGGATAAAAAGGTAAAAAAAGAAAAAATTCTAATAAACCCTAATAACCAAGGCTTCTATAACTCCAACAAGAAGAAAGAGAATGAGAAGTAAGAGGAAAAACAAATGAAGGAGGAAGAAATGTAGAAGATGAAGGAAAAGGAGAAATAAAAGAGGAGGAAGAAGAGAAAAAAAAGAAGAATGAAGGAGGAGAAGGAGCAGGAGAACGGGGAGAGAAGGAGAAAGAGAGAAATCGGCTGGAAAAAAGGAGGAAAAAAAGGAGGAGGAGGAGGAGGAGGAGACTGAAGAAGAACAAGAACAAGAAGGAGGAGGAGGATGATAAGTGAGAGGAAAAGCCGGGGGAGGAGGAGGAAGAGATGCAGAAAGGAGGAAGGAGGAAGGAGGAAGGAGAAATAGAAGAGGAGGAAGAAGAACGAGGGAGAAAAGGAGGAGAAGAAGGAGAAAGAGAAAAATCGACAGAAAAAATGAGGGAGGTGAGAAAGCGACAAGGAGAGACGAGAAAGAGAAGGATGAGGAAAGGGAGAAGGAGAGGAAAAGCATGTGAAGGAGGAGAGAAGAAAAATCGCTCGAAAGATCAACACCCATCAATTTGCTCAGAGGTGATAGTCCCTTCCAGTTGGCCGCAGATAACTTAATAGCCCCTACTAGTTGCTGACTATATGAAAGGCCACAAATTTGAACTCCCCTTAAAATTAACATTCCTTGGGAGGAGGAGAAGGATAAGGAGGAGAAAAATGAAGAAGAATAGGAACTAGAACAAGGAGGAGGAGACGTAGCAAGAGGAGAAGGAGAAAAAGGAGGATGAGAAGTGAGAGGAAAAGCCGAGGAATGAGGAAGAGATGCAGAAGATGAAGGAGAAAGGAGAAATAAAAGAGGAAAAGATACAAAAGATAGAGGAAGGAGAAATAGAAGAGGAGGAAAAGATGCAGAAGATGAAGGAGAAGGAAAAATAGAAGAGGAGGAAGAATAAAAAGAATGAGAGAGGAGCTAGAGAGCAAAAAGAGAGAGAGATGGAGCAGGAGAGTAAAAAGAGAAAGAGAAGGAAAAAGAGGAAAATCGGTAGGAAAAAGGAGGGAGAAGGAGAAGAATGAAGAAAAAGAAGAAGAAGGAAGAAGAGCAAGAGGAAAAGAGAAGAAATAGAAGGAAGGAGAAGGAGAAAGAAGAGGAGGAGAAGCGGGCGAAGGAGAGCATATAAGTCACTCGAAAGATTAAAATTTATGGTGACTCTAAGGATCATTGGCCACTTGCAAGATAAGGAAACTAAAACAGAATCACAGAGAAAAAAAATAAAGATTCTATAGAACCAAAAATTTATAGTGTGTATAAAGGCATATATAAAAATATGTACTTATATAGAGAGAGAGATTTAGAGAGGGAGAAAAGAAAAATTGTGTTATGGGAGATCACATTAGGAATTGTGTATATTTTGGGTCTGAGACGAACTTACAGACTTGCTCTGATGATTCAAGTATTCAACGAAGACTCATAAGCCCTAAGTGTTGCTCAAAGGTGATGCCTCTTGACAGGAAGATAATGTAATATCCCCTTTCATTGTTGAACTTTATGAAAGGCGACAAATTTAAACCCCTTTTGGAATTAAGTTTCCCCACTCCTCTTGTCCCTCAACACAGGGGCGTGCAGGCCGTTGAGAGGACATGACACCCAAACTAGTTGAATTCTACTGTTGTTTCAACCAATCGAATATTCAAATGTTAACGATTGTTTTTTCTGAAGTCTTGTGTTGGAATGGTAAGAGTGGAAATTGGGAGGAGAGAAGGAGTTGTGTTTACGTTGAAGTGGAGGATAGTCTGTTTGGAAAATTTGTTAGAATCTCCAAGTTGATAACGATGGAAGGAGAAAGGGCTTTATTGTTCATGAAGAGGATGATAGAAAGGACTGGGGAGGATTTGGGAGAATGTTGGATGGATTTTTACATAGTCAAAAAAATGCTCTGTTTTTATAGAATAAAAGTAAGGGAGTAGTGAAAGGAGATGGGCCTGTAGAAAAGGCTTCCAATAAGATGGTGGCTAATGAAAAATTCCAAAAAGAAGAAAACAGATGGAAAAGTGCACTAATATACATTAAAGAAAGTCTTTTTCATCCATGGAGAGAGATTCAAAGAGCTTTGTCAATCGTCTTGAATTTTGATGTGAAGTTGAATGTGTTTCAGACTGATTAGGCAATATTCTTCTGCCAAGATTGAAAACAGGTTGATGAAATTGAAAGTATACTTTGGAGGGATCAATAATGGTGAAGTTGCAAGAATGATGTCCTGATTCCAACAAGTTTCGCAGCAAAGCATCTTTTCTAGGAGGGGGGATTGCTGTGGAGGGGCTACCGTTTCACTTATGGCACCGGGAAATGTATTGGAAAATTGTGTGGTCATCAAAATTGACTGTCAAACAACGAATCGTGAGAATTTTTTTTAGGCGCGTATCCGTTTTCATAAGCCGAAGTGTAGTTTCCTTACAATATCGTTGGCTGTTGAGTTTAATAGAAAAATCTACCAGATTCAAATTAGGGTTTTTTTATGTTTGGGAAAGATGAGCCGTTAAGAAAGGCCGAGTGTGTTTGGGGGTAATGGTACCAAAAATTCTTTGGATGGGGCCCATTATTATTATGGAGACTTAAAGGTGGATGGGCCATCCAGGCTGCATATCAGTGTTCATAAGCCAAAGTCTAGTTTCCTTAGGTTTGAGAAAGATGAACCATGAAGGAAGAAAGGCTGAGAGTTTTTGGGGGTAGTGGTACCAAAAATTCTTTGGATGGGGCCCATTATTATTATGGAGACTTAAAGGTGGGTGGACCATCTAGGCTTGGCCCATTTCTTCCCAAAAGGGAATTGATTTTCGGAGGGCTTTGGGGCCTGTTCGGCCTATGCTTTTACCGTCTTCTTCATCAACCAAGGAGAAGGTATTGTTAGGGCTAATCTGTCTGCAATTATTATGAGGAACAAAGACAAAGACGATAAAAAAGAAGCAGTGAGGAGTGCTCAAAGGAAGGCTTGAAATGGAGAAAGGAGATGATGCAAGGGTTAGATGATTATGCTTTATGAGGGAGTTACGAAAATAATGTTGACGTTGCGGTGGAATGGACTCGAGATGATTTCGATGGAGATACTTAAGAGACAACGAGATTTGAAAATGAATATAGTTTAACTAGCTAAAGCCTGTACCTAAAGGCACTCAATAACATTAAAAAATTGTCAATTAAAAAACCTACCAATTAGAAGATTACTAAATTACATCAAACTTGTAGAACAAAAAAATAGAAATTAAAAAGGAAACGAAGACAAAAAATCCAAACCTACCTACATAGGCGCAAAAAAGTCAACAGTCGTTCGTTTTTACCTGCTTCCAACCATGCTCAACACAAAAGCACAAAAGTTGATTTCTTCGTGGTGAAAGTGAACCAAAGTTGTTACCTTCAATGGCATAGTTAGGCCAAAGCCTCGCAATCATGCCCGTCAAAGACTAACTTGACTATTCCTGTAAGTTAAAGCTGAAAACAAAAACACAATGTACACCAGCTATAATAATTTGATATGTAAGCTAACCATACCTGAAGTGTTGGCAATGAGGAATTTGGAGCTTCAAGTGTTGGTGTAGATAATACGGTTGATGCAGTTGGACTCCTATAAACAATTTAATTTTAAGAGATGCAAGAAATGGTGGTCGCCATGGAGGTGAAGATGGCCCTCTTCCCCCCCCCCCCTAATTGTCCACAAACAGATTTCAATGTGAACAAGCCAAGGTTGTCAAGCAATGACATACAAAAGATGTCCGTTGTTGGGCATACAACGACGACATACTAAAAAAACATGTTGTGATGGTATGCCTTACTCTTATAGTTGGAATTGGTGGTAATTAGTTTCTTGGTTTTGTTTTTGTAGGAATGTTGATCTTTTGATGCAATAAATTAGGATTTTATTTGATCATGATAATATTTTGATTTTTGTATGCTCAACAATTGATAGGAGTAGAGTATTATTTCTCAAGGTATGAATTACTGATTTTTTACCTACTACAAAGAAGATTACTTATTTTCTAAAGTCCTTTTTCGCTATCTCACTGAGGAATTTGGAGCTTCAAGTGTTAGTGTAGATAATACGGTTGATGCAGTTGGACATAGCATTGTCTGCATATTAAAAAATAAAGAAAATCATAAAAGAAATAAAAAAGACAGTAATTAATTCCAAACTACTGCTACTTTTAACAGCAACAAAGAAAAATATCTCAATTATTATAAACAATTTTTTTTTCATAAACATAACATTAGAATAACTGGGTAAAAATTTTAAAGAGCACACGATAGATTGTCAATACAATAGGAAAAGAGAATTATGTGAATAAGAAATACTAGTATATAACTATTACTAAAATAGCCAACAAGATGTGAATGCAATATCAACAATGTAAGAATTATATCGAAATATAGCATAAAATAAACAAAGTAACAATAATCAACTTTTACTTACTAACAATAATCAACTTTTACTTACTTCGATATCAACCAAAATTCTAGCAAACTTGTACTGTAGTAGCATATGACTCTACCCTTTATGTATATATCAAGAAAAAACACAAAAATACAAATATCATTAGTTCTTATATGCAAAACTAGGGTGAGATAGATTATCAATACATTAGGAAAAGTAAAAAAGATATATAAGAAGTACTCTATATCAACACACTAAAAGAGCTAAAAAAATATGAAAGCAAATCCAACAATTTCTTGAGAATTATATGAAAATATAACATACAATATGCAAATAACAATAATAAGCTTTTACTTATTTCGACATCAACCAAAATTCCAACAAGCTGTATTACACCGGCATAGGACTCTACATTTTATGCATATAAAGTCAATACACATAAATATAAAAACAAGCTTGCTATA